AGTTCTGCTGTAGTGGTTAAAGACAGAAAATGTTTAGCTTAACCCTGAGGCAGCTCAAACCTTTTGCTGAATTAATTAAAAAATAGTTCTGTGCCCTCTGCAGCAGCAGAGCGGTGTTTGGGAGGGGAATGAAGGGAGGAGCGCTGTGCACTGGGAGCAGGAGGGCTGATCATGCCAGGATCCTTGCCATCTGTGGGAGATCCCAGCATGTAAGGGGGAGCATGTATTGGCTCCCAGGTCTGCCACACAGCTCCCAGAGCTTGAATTTGCCTGCAGTAGTCTGTTTGTAAGAGAGCCAGTCCAGCACCCCAGTGTTTTATTTTCTAAAGTTGTTTCAACAACCCCCCTTTTCCATCCTGGGGGGTAAAAAAGCCCTTTGGAAGAGGGGCTAGGTAACAAGGTTCTACACTTATCCTCCATGTACACTGTGCAAGTTAAAAGGCTCATTCTGCCTTTCATCTTGTGTACTGTTTTCTGCAGATATTTCCTAACTTCTCCCATGACGTTTTTGCCTGGTTCTTCAGAAGACTGTATGGACTGAAAGAGACTATTGTTTCCGCAAGAGTGCAGACATGTGCACATTGGCTAATCTGGTTGGTACAGGATTTCAGGAGTGGGTGAGGAACAGGATTGGGATGTGTGCGCCTACGAATTCCTTTGAACGGCATGCTCTCCTATTCTGTAAATAATATCACATTTCAGTTTCTAGGTTCACCATTCGTATTTCTCCAAAAGTTGAACTCCTATACCATGAGATGTAAACAAGGAAATGGCATACAGGAAGATTGCAAAAGCTTTGGTTAGCAGAGATACAAGGTTGATTCAGTTTTCAGTCCTGCGACTGGATAAGTGTCAGCTACTTAATTACATGGAGACTCAGAACGTTTATTTTTCACAAACATCATAGGTTTAAAATTGATACTTCATTGTCTTTCTAGCTTTTTCCTTCCCCATGTTTGGGTTTTCAGTTTTGAAGTACAGGATAGGCAAACAAATACTTTTTAGCCTGTTTTTTGGGAGGAGGCAGACTTTGGCAATGAAGGTGCATTTGCCAGCTCTTGAGACACTGCACACTGAACCTTGCATTTGCAGCAAACTCTTTCTGCAAAGCAGTTTGCATACAATGCATCAGGCGATATTGGTTGAGGTTTTTTTCCATTCGGATGGTATCACCAGGGAGCAAAGAAACCCCCAGTTGTTAGTTTTGTTTACACCCAGCATCTTGTCAAATGAAACCTTGCCACATATTTGTTTCCCCTTTTGGGAGCGTTACCTAAAAGATGATGGTGCTGGGATAACTCCAGCTTCCTGGTGGTGACCCAGATCTCTACTGGCGATGAGATCTCTGTCTCCGCTGGGCAAGGAGCAAGAACAGCAGTTGTGTTTTTGATTGCTGATCTGCAGGCGTGTTCCCATACAGTATTTCCAGGATCATCAGCAACCTTGCAGCACCTTGGCTGTTGCTGCTGATGTGCCCTTGTCTGGCAGAGAAAGGCAGGATTTTTTTCCGCAGTCTGGTTTCATGTAGGTCTTGTAAGAGGGTGTGAGGCAACTCCAGGGTGTTTTTACATACTACTTTTGTATGTGTGAGACAGCATAAAAATCCTCTGAGGTTTTTTAGCAGCAACAACGTTGTATAACTGACAATTTGCTGTATGTCCACTTTAATACGGTTTCCTTGCTCAGTCAGGAGTAGTTGCTGCTTGTGAATGGCTCCTTGGAACTAGAGGGTGCAAGCTGGAAAGGCTGAGACTTGCTGGTAATTTAGAAATTTATGAGGATTTATACTGTGGTTGTTGATGGGATTTGGCTGGCTGAGATGCTTTTTGACAGATGCACAGGAATTCCCAGGTGTTGATAAAAGCACTTGATAATAGCCAATCGAAAAGGATAGGGAAGAGAGATTAGCAAGGGAAGTGAGGAGGACTCAGAGATTTGTCTGGGTTCTTTTCATCCATGGGCTGTCATATTTAGCAAAGAGCTTATAGCCTCACCCACAGTTTTCTGTGTTTTTAGCACTGCTAGACCAAACTGCTGTGTTGGCTATCCTTGAGGGGCTTCTCCAATGCTTCTGTTGGGTCAGTCAGTTTTCTTGCTTCCCAGCCACCTCACTGTTTGCCCAAGTGGTGTTTCTGAAACAGCATCTCCTTTTTAGCAGCTCATGGGCACAGTATAGGATGCTGGAACCAGCATTTGAAGCCACCTTTTCCTGTCCAAGACTCCCTTTGTCTTAGAGTCCTTGCTGCTATAGCCAGGAATGTTTGAGGCATGTTTCTCCTGATGGTTTTCTGCTCTGCCCTCCCAAGGATTGGATGTAGGACAGTTTGGAGGGTTCCTAGCAGTGGAACTCCCTGTTTACAGTCAGTGTATTCATTAGAGCCCTGAATTATTTACCTTAAACAATTCAAGTCCTGAATTATTTACCTTTAAGTACTGTCTTCCTGCGTTCTGCATTTGGTTGACTGTAGACCTATGCTCTGTTATTTGCTGTTATATGCTATGAACATCTAAGGTAGCGTAATATCTAAAGCAGTTTCAGCTATTTGCTGTTAATTTTATTTTCATACACAAGCACATTGCAACATTATAGATGATCTTTAAGATCCCTTCCAACCCAGACAATCCTATGATTCTACAACTTAGTTTGAAGTGTGACTCAGATGTAAAACGGATTTGTGCAAACCTAATTTTAAGTGTTGTAAATGCATGGACAGTTGTCAAGTCTTCCTCTTTCTGCAAGTCCCCTGCCTAGTGCCAAAGGTACAGCTGTAGTGGCAAGCCTTGGGCAAACTCCCTATTCAGCATCTTGTTTTTTCCCTGCTGTCCCATGTTTGGCCCAAATTTTTATTTATGGCACACTATTCAAATTCTACTGAAGAAGTTTGTCATTTCCTTATGATCTTACTCTGTTTGCTAGTGTCAGGCTTGAGGGTTTGACGAATGATTTGGGAAGCGCCACCCCTTCTTTGCAGGAAGAGAGTTAAAACAAGAGGTTCTTACAGCCTTGCTGCTGACATGTCTCCATGCTATGTAGTATTTCATGTGCTGGAAATACAGTCCCCTTCTGTTGTGACTGTTCATTATTTTTAGTTGAGAGAAACCAGAGTTCAGGTTGGTTAGGAACTCGTTAATGGCCACTTGAGAGGTCCTGGGTTTAAATGATTGGCACAGTGCTGCATCAGAGCTCTGTGGCAGCTCTCCAAGGCGCAACTCGTCTGCCTGGGCACTGAGAGAGTGGCAGGGAGTGTCAGGGCGACTGCAATCCTTGCTGCCAACAGCTGTTAGAGCTGTCATGTGCTCTTACCCCGCAGTCCTGATGCACGGCTCAGGTACATCCCACATGCCAAGAGTGAAGGCAGCCACAGCAGGCAGCACTCACCTGCCACATTTTCCTCCATTTCAAGGGCTGAGTACTTGAACTCATCAGTGTTCTCTCTTGCAGCTTACCTGTGGTACACCAGAGATTTTTGCAGGAAGCAAACCAATGGCAAACAGTGTCCACTGGTGTCATAGAGACCTGAACATGGTTCATTGGCAGTGCTGCAGCTGCACAGCCACTGTGCAGCTCTCTGTGCCTAACCAGGTTCTCACCCTCTCCCCATCCCCCCTCCAATTTTCTGTCCCCATTAAGTGAAATTTCTTTTTTTTGACGTGTTTTTCCCTGCTGATGCCTGGCCCAGCTCTTGGCTGCTCTATGTTGAGCATAGATGGCTCCAGGCTGCGGTAGGAAGGTCACCTGGAGCAGGAGAGAGAGCTGGTCCCCGTCCCTGCTTGGGAGGTGGCCCTCCCCTGGTTGGCAGCAGATGCCAGAGGCAAAGGTCACCTCTCTTCCTAGCCCTGAACTAGACTGTGCTATTTACTTAGTGTGGCGTCTGGCTAAACCCAGGTTTAAACTCTCTGTTCTGAGGGTGCCAAAATTTTGTCTTTCCAGACACCTTTTTTGGGAATGGCTCAATCAGATCACTATGACCAAAATCTTGCAACAAAACTTTTTGGCAGACATCCATGTTGCCAAATGCCTGAGCCCTGAAAGGGCTGAGCAGGAAAGGTATCACAGCTATATCCCCCACCCCATGCTACATGTCTGGGTTTAGTTTTGTATGCCCTTGTGGAGGTAGGCAAGGGATCATGTACACATGGTTGAGTTGCATCTCCGTAAGTGAAGGGGTTTGTTTTGGTTACGTTCAAAGAAAGTGATGAAATAATTACAGTAAAGGCATTTCCAGTACTGGAAATCCAGTTTCCTTTACTTATGATGTGTCTTCTGGCCATTCAGAGAGGTTGGGGAGGTGTAGGGTGGAGGGCTGAGGTTGTATCTTCAGTTGAGTTTCTACCATATGGGCTTTTTTTCTTCCTTATTTAAATGTAGAAATGTCTTCTATGGAGTGTATGTTTTGGTGCATTGGTGGATCAGTAGTAGAATTTGACACTAAAACTTAAAGCTGCTAATATGTGAAGTAAGGAGTAAACACAGACACTAAAAGACCCTTTTGAGAATTTTAAGTGGAGTTGCTACTTCAGTAATGTAGATGCAAAATTCAGGGAAACTTTATGATAAAGTAATCTACTGTCAAAGTAATTTTGCAAGTATTATTTTTACATCACTGCCGTGGTTATCAGAGGCATGTCTTTACTGTTGAAACTGAAAGAAACTTAAGTAGCTTTCTCTCCCCCCATATTTCTGCTTTTGGTGGCACTGAGTGTCTGTTTGGCATTGGTCCCAGTGCTGCCGGGCAGGATGCCCTGGGAAGAGGGCAGAGGGTATGGGCACAGGAGAGTTGCATTCTCCTGTGAAGCTCTACAAGTGGCGGGCTGTGGTACCTCATCTACCTCTCCAAACTGATACCTGTTGCTTCTATTTGGTCAATGAATGATTTTGTGGAAAGGACTTTTTCTTGTTTAATGTCTTTATGAGATGAAGCAGAAAACAAAGAACCTAAATATCTGCTGGGAGTGCATGCAATTAATCAATTTTCTCTTTTGTGTTGTTTTTCACACAGAGCGATGAGGCAAGAGAGAAGTTTTTAAAAATAGAAAAATGTGATTGCATAAACGTTGTTGTTGACAGGAGGACTCAGTGGATTCAGGTAATAATGTGACACTGCTTTTTATTGTGCTTTGAACACTGGCTGGCTTTCAAGGCTGCCAATGGCACTTTGTCAGGGGCTGAGGAGTAGAGGAAGGTGGCAAGGTATAACAAGACCCAGTAGCTGGCTGTTAATTCATTCAGACCAGATGAAAGGGTGTGAGTGTTCACACAGCACTGGTGGTTGCTGAATAGAAGAATGTTGCTGGGGCTGTAGTAGCTTCCTTCTTTATGTCAGGCTGTTGAATCTGAGGCTGTTTTGTTTTGTTTGTTTTAAATGAGTTTGTTTTTAACCCTAGGAGATTCTCTCATTCAGCCTCTTACAGCTGCGTTGATGTAGGCAGGGAAGCTCCATGCCTGTTTCATGAAAGAAGGTCAAATGATTAGCTGTCCCTTAAGACTGCAGAACTCTGAATCTATGAATATTTCCCTTGAATTCCCCCTTTTAAAGGATTTCTGGATCAGAGTAGATCATTATCTGCTAAAAGACCCAGACCTAGACCTTTATTGCTTTAGAGGACTACTGCTCGTTGTTTTCTGTGTGTGAATGAAGACAATTTCTCTTGCATATATTATAGGAAACGTAATGTGTGATATTTAGGCATGCTACTAATATGTTTGCAACATACTGTCTTAAAATGATGGACTTCAACATATTTGCATCCTGTTTTGTAGGAAGTGTAAGTTGCTAGCTAAAATGCATCTCATGTTTTTAATCAGTTTAATTATTTCTCTCACTGAAGGGAACTGGAAGATGAAGGCTGGGGGAGTTTACAGTGCTAATTCCACTCCACATTTGTAATTGGGGCCAGATCCTACCCTCAGACTTCTTAAGCAATCCTGGTGAAGTCACCAGGCTTTTCACAAGCATATGGTTTTCTCCATACGTATTTGATTCCAGAATAAGGGCCTACAGTGTGCTTTTTTATGCACTGATTTCTCGTACTGAGGAAGTTTGAAAAACGTGCATCTTTTCCAACATAGCCTCTTGGTTTCCAGTAACGATTGAAGAGGTTCTGCAGTATTTTATTAAGAAGCAGATCAGCAAAGTTTGTTGCCTTAGACTGAGCTGTTTCTAAACTGACGAGTCCATTTTCTTTGTTAGGTGCAAGGTGGGGAAAAAAGCAGTTGTGGCTTTGCATTGCAATAGTAATGACCAAGAAGGACATTTAAAAAGCATGTGAATGGGTGTGGATTTGATATTTCCTAAAGCCAGCTTCTTTTTAGTATTAAACTGCATACTCTGAGAAGATAGTTGCTGTATCAACATTGGTATAATGACACGTTATTAAAAAATCAATATCCAGTCACAGAAACAAGTCCTTGTGTAAGCAGTTGGGTGCTTACAGCTGTGATTTTTATGTATTTGTAAATGTAATGGGCTTTTTTTTTTTTTCTGTAGCACTGGTAACTTGGATAAACACTGTATGTGTGACTCATTGCAGAGTATAAACTTACTTTAAAGGAGCAAGTGCTGGATTTGCTGAATATCCTGTTGCTTGCATCCCTGAATACTTACTTGCAATAGGTCATGATTGATCTTCAATTGGCCATCCTGAGGGGAAAATTACTGCTGATGTCCCACAGGTACTTCAGAAATAAACAGAACAATGGAAGTGCTTTAAGAACATAAATAGTAGTTAGAATTCATAAAATCCTAAAGTAAACATATGATACAAGGCCTAAAATACAACACTTGAAAGCCTTTTTTTATACTTTCAGAAAGAGCTTGTTTAGTTATCACAGAAAAAGTAAACATTTTCATTCCTTTTTCTTTAGCCCTTTCCCATTCCATTCCTCTTTTTCTCCTTTTTTTTTCTTCTTTTTTTTCCCCCCAGAGTCTTCTTAATTTGGTGGGACTGGGGACCAACACCCGATGTGCATAGAAAACCCTACTTGGGAGCAGTAGATAACACTGCTAATTGTCCTCCTGTTGTTAGGTACATTCTTGAGGTCTTTCTGCAGTGTCAGCATGGAGTTGATGTAATCCAAACTGAACAAGTCCCTGTGTGCATGTGTGCGTGAGTGCGATGCGATGGGCACTGCAGTGGCTCCTGGACCAGTCAAGAACACACTTGTTTTTTAATGTGATAGCCCAAACATCAGTGATGCGGGATGCAATTCCTCTGTGTGTGTGTGTGTGTGTGTGTACGTGCAGGGGTGTAAGCTCACGGAGGGCAGCATAGCACAGCATCCCCGCTCATCTGCTGCACCTTTGGCGGGGCAGCTGCAGTCTCCACCACCTTGAGCATCGATGGGACAGGGAGGTGAAGTCGCTGCTGGAAAGGGGCAAAGGAGGAAAATGGGGAGCAGAGGAGTGGGGGGCTGGGCAGGGAGCAGGGGCCAGGGAGGAAGACACAGCTCCAGAGGGAAATACTGTGTGCTTTGCAGTTGCTTGTGTGGATAGAAACCAGATGGTGCGCTGGAACACCCGCTCGCTTGGGCGGCGGCAGAGCCAAACATATGGTTAATGGTTAGGAGAAAGAGCTTTTCGAGCCAGGGCTTTGCTGACTGCCTCGCATTACAGATTGTTGCAGTGTGTCATTACATTGCCAAACTAAGTGCTTAATACCCGCTGCGGGCGCTGGGCAGGCATTTGCAGGAAGGATGCTGAGGCTCCCCGGTCAGGGCGGGAGGTTGACATCATGTACAGCCCACTGCCACGCCCCCCACGCCCCCTTTCCCCACTGGGAACCCTGTAAATCTCCCCATTTACAAGCCTAAATCCTACGGTCGGCAGTTTTCTCGTTCTGGGTGTCTTTCTTTAATCCATTTATTTCCAACAGCATATGGTTGGTTTTGCCTTTTTTTGTTCCTTTTTTTTCTTGATCCTCGAGCAGCTGAATTCACTGAGGCTGCAACACTGCATTTACATGTCCAGCATCCGAAGTTCCTGCTCTGGGATCTTTGGGCGACACCAGACCCATGTTATCTAAGGAACTGCTGAGCTCATTCATCTCCTTTTCACGGCCCGCTTCCTTTTATTTTTAGCCAAATCCGTCAGGCCTGACAGGCGGGTAATTTGAGCCAGAGAAAGGGCAAAGCTCCAGGTCCTTTCCACAAAGCAATTCTTCTCCTCCCTCCTGGGAAGGCTCCAAACTTGGCCTGCTCCAGGCAGATGGATTTGTTGAGTCATGTGAGATCATTTACACAAAAACACAGCGAGGCAGTGAAAAGGAAAAAAAAAAAGGGGAAAGAAAAAAAGAGAAAAAGGTGGGGGGGAAGGGGTGGGAGAGCGTGCGCTGCCGGGGCTGCTGCGAGCGTAGGAAATGTGCTGCGAGGCAGCTAGACAGAGGAATGCAGCAGATTCATTCTTGTATAAGGTAATGTCTCGTTTACAGTATAGGGTGGAGCCAGCACAGAGGAGAAATCACTCGAAAACAGATTACTCATTTAAAACAAAAATTTTCCTTAAAATAAATAAGAATAATAAAAAATTAAAAAAAACCCAACAACTCAACCAACAAGCCAGCGGCGCACGCGGGCGTGCAACAAAGGCGGCGTTGTTGACAGCACCGGATTACAGTAGCGGTAAACTCCGGGCTGGGAGGTTGCTGGAAAATGAGTTTGCTCCGTGATGCAACTGGAGTTTGCTTTGTCTGGCCGCCAGTGCAAGCGGGGCGGCCGAGACTGGGAGCTCAGTGGCAGCAGGGCACGCTTTGCTCCATCCAGTGATGGTTTTGGATGATGGGGAGGGATGGAGGGAGCGATGAAGTATCCTGAGGGGGCAGGCTGGGCTGGGGCATCATTAAGAGTGATAACGAGGGCGAATGTGCATGGAGGGGGGGTGGGAGAGAACCTCTTCTTGTTTTGGTTTTGAGTTGGCTATGGCATCAGCTTCATTGCATTACATTTATTCAGTTGAATGTGAATTTTGTTTTCGTTTGCAACCTGAGCTAACCCCAGCATGTTGGGTTTGGGTTTTTTAAGTGGGTGGTAAGAGAGAACATGAAACTTGGAGCTTTTCAGATCTTGTTACATCCCAGAGAATTAGGTTGGGTTAATTTATGCAGTGTTCTAACAAGATGTGTTCAAATCTTTAAATAGACTGCATTTAAGTATTGTTAATATAACTTCCAGTTACTCCAGTTTTCTTAGCATCTGAATGTTGCTGTTTTGTCCCAGTGACAATTTAAAATCAAGAGTAGGACCAGAAATTGGAACTGGAAATGGTGGGAAACATGCAATAAAACAAATCCAATGCAAAGCATTTCCTAAAATTCTCAGCTACAGTTACAGAACTTGCAGGAGAATGTAAACATGGGTTTGTATTTTAGCATGACCCTTTCCCCTGCTGAGTAGCATCTTCTGCAAACTCCACAGCAGTGTCTGTTGAGGTGATTTCCTCTGGGAAGGGGAGGGTTTGTCTGGAGCCTGCCTTCTTCTAACTTGACCTTGTCTTTCCCTTTTACTCGTCCTGCTTCTTTTTACACTTTTGTCTGAAAGATGGTTTTCCCAGCCCTCTTACCCTGCCAGGCTGTGCCACTGACCACAGCATGTTCAGTGTGGGGAGAGCCTTAACTTCTTCGTCTTACAAGTTTTCTCACTTGGTGGAAACCTTTTGTCTTCCCTGTCTCTTGATCAGGCTGCCACCTTATTTATGTTGAAGGAGCACTTGGCAACGCCCCAAGTCCCGGCTGGGGTCCTGCACTGCAAAAACCCACAATGGGGTCCCTGCCCCTCAACTGATGTCTGGATCAGCAGAAGGGTAAAGTATAAAATGAGAAATACAGCCAGGTTTGGGACCTAGATGGTGCAATAAGCTGTGGCCGTAGCACAGCAGCTTTTAATGGGGAATGACTTTAGATTGCTCTGAGATCCTCAGAAAGGTCCTGGAGAAGAACAGCATTGTTATTTATTCTGTTTGCATAGTTATTATAACTTTCTTTCCTCTCTTCCCCAAAATACCTAATTATCCTACATTTTCTGTTGCTGTGAGCAACATTTCCTGTTATTACTCAGAGCTGCAATTCCAGTTAAATTCTCACTTTGTAAAGCTAA